CTGGAAAACCGGAGCGTTGACTTCCATACTATTTGTTTTTCTTACAATGGAAGTCAGTTGTTACAGGTATTCAGCCTTCTTTTCTATTCTGTTCTTAGTGTTCAAAAGAATATAGAAACCACTTAATTAATATTAATTATTAATCAATTAATATTGAGAAAGCACTTGAGGGTGAGTAAATACATTTAAAAAACTATGCCTTTAATTGCCTATCTTTTCCCCTTGTACAGTGCATGAACACAGCATGACAAAGCTGAAAAAGAGTCAAAATTAGGACCAAAATTTCACTGTGTATGCCTGGCATAACATATGCACCTTTCCGATTAGCTTCATTTAGCACCTTGTATGCTGGGTCGTTGTGGGACAACCAGCACAGGCCAAGCTATCCTCCTGATCATGGCCTGAAAAACAGGCCTGAAGGTCTTATTTCAGCCTATGTGAGCAAGGGATTAACACCGCGGTGCATATGTACAGTCTGTGTTCGCAGCAGGGTTTTACTTGGCTAGTGAGCGATGGCTCCAACCATCAATTTCGAAAGGGGTGAATTTGTGGAGAGTGGCATTTTTTCGACGGAGTCAAACAATGGACAAAGAGCATGGCTGTGGTTGTGCTGGGGGTTTTGAAGGAGTGGGAGGGGGAGGGGGGGTTCAAACTCGAGTCTCCGGAGCCTGTCATGAGCACGCGAGGTCAGGACATCTGCTGACATTTACTGCTGGGTCTGAGCCAGGCTGCAGGTTTCAGGGCTCCTGCCAGGGCCTCATATCAGGCCTGCGTAAAACCACCAGGCTCTCTCGCCTCTCTGAAACTCACACCAGAATGCTCGGAACCTGCATGACCTTACGCTTTTTGATCCAGGCCTAGTGGTGCAGCATTTATGAGGACGTTGTGAATTGTAAACTTGCTGAGAGGGCATGAGCCGGTTTTCGACATGACCTCGCTTCTAAACACCAGTTAAGGAGAAATTTTTTTTTTCAGCGCTATCCGTACGCTCAGACCCGAGCCAAACTCCTGATCGCTCCCATTCCCTCTGTATGGACCTGATTTATTAGAGGGAAAAAAGTAATGCTTTCACTCATCTGCCTAATTCACATTCATCTCGGAAAAAGTCACAGATGCAGAGCGAAAGAAAGGACGGCGATGAAGGAGTCTAGTTTTAATCGCATAAAGAAAGCTTTACGTTTACTGTTGTCCATTATTTCAGCGCAGTCATAAGTCATTGTGGAACCTTTTCTCCACAATAGCCATCTTTCAGTCAACCATCTCTTTCATTCAAGCTTTTCCCATTGCGTCAAGTATTGAGTTTCTCAGGGCGAAATCCCTTCATTTGTTCAATTGTGATTTGTTGGCAGGATACCACAATGCCTATCTGTCAAACGAAGCATGTTATGTACTAGCCTATAACAGGGCAACAAAAGGGCAACATCTGATTAGCATTCATAGCACAGTCTCCCTCGTCCCTTTGGTATTTTATTACCACAGGTGCAGAGGCATTCATTGATCAGATGCACGCTACAGGCAAAGCAAGTCTTAATTGAAAACATCTCTATTTATACACCTGCAGGCACTAAAGGTCTCGGTGAGCAAAAGGAGGCCTGAAAAGGCAGAGAGAAAGGGAGGAAGGAAAGCAGAGAGAAAGCAAACTGTGGAAGGCGGAAAATAAAAAGGAGCTGCTAAAGGAAAGAGATTAAGTGTTTGTTTTGCTGAGTTGATGGTAAAAGTGATCCAATCAATGATTTTAAATGTAATAAAAGTCACTCATCTACTTTTATGTGTTGTTGTACTGGATCTTAAATTCATATGTGTGGGGACAATAAAATATATGTATTTTTCAGTGAATACTTGAATTTTGTCAAATGTTTCTGATTCATAAAATTTGTTAATCAAAGAATTGCAAAAAAAGTATTACTTTTAAAATAAAATAAAATAAATAAATAATAATAATAATAAATAAAAATATGAAGCAGCACTGTTTGAACTGTTTTCACAAATGAGAATACAAATTTTTTTTTTTTTAATTATATCAACCAATTTGAAAGGGCAATTTAGTTTTTATTTGTATAAATTTCTAGAATTAACAGTTGTTACTGTTGACGAACCAAATACTTACATTCTGCTGAGAACATCTAGATGAATATAGATACATGCTATACAAGTTGACTTTTGTTCATTTTAGCTATTATTTGGTGATGTTTTCTAATGCTAATCCCTATTAATAGCTTATTATTTAAATTCTTCCTTCTCTTTCCAATATCATGTGACCAAAACAACTCTTGATTTTTTTTTGTAAAGTGACTTCAGCTTTTATCTGTATAAACAAACAACAATGTGGAAAGTAATGACAGCATATTGCTCAATTTCATGTGACCCAACAAGTGACATCCTTCAACACAGCCTTCAAATATGTAAAAAAAATCTATTCGGTTATGTTCAAGTATTGTATAACATTGATTAAAAATTTTAACAGTCCAGACTTACAGAAATTCAGAATTTAAGTGAACATAGTAAGTTAAAACATCTAATAATTCAGAGAATTCCGAGGCAGAAACAAGCTTCCATAAAAACCACTTACAAATCCAAACGTAACTACGTTTTATTAGTTTAGTGGTGAATTCGTTTTCGAGTTCAGCCATATGAAAATATACAATGTTAAAGGAGGCATGGCACCCAACCCCATCTCTAAACCCAATTGTCATTGGGGGATAAGCAATTTGTACTAAATTAAACGAATGAGTACGAATTAACGATTAAATCAAAAAGATACAAATTGCTGTGTGATCGTGTTGATTAATCTGTGCCCCGCACTAATACTGTAAACTTAAAATTCCTATAGAGTGTGAGCTTTTAGACATATATTGCCATTTAGATTTATTCTTGTTTTAAGAATTTCGCCTTTCTAACTGTGAGTCTTTTTTCTCCTCGCAATTGTGACTCTTTCTCAATTTCAACCTCTTTTACAATCATACATAACAGAGCTAAACTTGCGTATTAACCATAGGATACACACAACAATATGGTAACCTATAAACAGCACTGAAGTGATCGAGTCCTCGTGTGGATGAGATGGTTATTTGTGAAAACAACATTTGAAGGAATAGTTCTTTCAAAAATGAAATTTAAGATGATATTTTTGAAAAATGTTGGAAACCTGTAACCATAACCATCAGAAAAAACAAATACTATGGAAGTAGTATTTTTCAAAATTTCTTCTTTTGTGTTCAACAGAACAAAAAATTATTTTAACTTGTTTAGAACAAGTCAAGGGAGAGTAAATGATAAATTACAATTTTTTGGGTAAACTATCCGTTCAAATCATTTATTCATTCATTCATTCATTTTCTTTCCAGCTTAGTCCCTTTATTAATGTGGGGTTGCCACAGCGGAATGAACCGGCAACTTATCCAGCATATTTTTTACGCAGCGGATGCCCTTCCAGCCGCAACCCATCCCTGAGAAACATCCATACACACCCATTCACACTCATACACTACAGACAATTTAGCTTACCCAATTCACCTGTACTACATGTCTTTGGACTGTGGGGGAAACCGGAGCACCTGGAGGAAACCACATGAACACAGGGAGAACATGCAAACTCCGCACAGAAATGCCAACTGACCCAGCCGAGACTCAAACCAGCAACCTTCTGGCCGTGAAGCGACAGCACTACCTACTGCGCCACTGCGTCATCCCGTTTAAATAATGTTAAATTACTTAGCGAACCATAACAGTCAACATCTGCACCCAAACAAAGACGCTGCAACTTAAATGTAAACATTAATACACATAAACAGCCAACGCTGTAAATAATGCTGCGTTCCACACAACTGATTTGTGTTGGAGCAACATAAAAGAATTAAGTTATCTTGTTTATTATTACAAATGCAAATAGATTGAGCATAAAACAATCAAGTTGTACCCAAAAAACTTAACAATTGTAGTTTCAGCTTATTTAAAATAAGTAGTTTGAACAATACTTTTTTGTAAAATAAGAACAATTGAGCCTAAATTAATCTGTTAAACTTCTGAGGCCTGAATCCAAACCTTAACTGGCTATAGCCTATATAAAATTGAATGTCTAAGTAAAAAAGCAAACACGCTATAGGAGTCCTTTCAAAGAGTTCATTGGCTTGAAGCAAACACAATAGCATCTGAGAGTGCTTTACTCTACAAAAGGCTGTGTTAAATTATATGCCTAAAGAGTTATTTTCTTATTTGACTGCAATTTGATCTGTAATAGACGTTTCTGTCCTTTTTGCCATGTTATTTTGCTTGAACTGAGAGCCAGAACGTCTTTCTGCGCTTGATTTTCACAAGCACTGAACGCCACAAAGACACGTCTGCAGGTGGTTAAGCAGGGGAGCTGCCACAAGAAAACACAAATATAGTTCTCCAAAAATGTTTCCTGAAGCCTCACCACACCAACTATGCAATCCCTGTCCAAGTCAGCGACCAAGTTTACAGCATCCCAAAACTCCCACAAACACACATAAACACCACTTTTGCCTCTCTTACAGTGAAGGGACGAAAGATCTGCATTTAAGATACACTTGAGCTGTCAGGTGCGTCTATAAAAAGCATTCGCGTCAGCAGAAAGTCCATGCTGCTTTCAGCCAAGATCTATCTAGAAAGAGGCTGTTGTGTCCTTGGAGTTTTAGATCCTATAATCCAACATAAGTTACCATCTTAACGTCATTTGATGTCTTTGATATTTACAATGAGTCTGTGTCAATAATATATTCATTCTCCAAAGTCAATGGACCTCATTCATCCAACAGGAGCAGAATGAATTGTTCGTAAAACCCTTCGCACGTAGATTGTGACATTAAATTGAATGTGACGATGTACGTCAGAGTGGTTTAACAAACGATATACACAGAAATTCACTCTGCTCACGTTTCACGAAGGAAGCCTGACACGTTAACTGGAAAATACATGTTCTCAAGGTCACATACTGGTTTGAAATCTGTCCCCTTTTCATGGTCACTACACAAAAACCTTACTTCTGTTGGCTTCCTGAAGCAAGCCTGGAGGCCTCGGCAGCTGCTTTTCTTGTCTCAAATTCCTCCCTCTCCAAACTGCTATCCTTGAGGCCCAGCTCCACCAGCTGGCGGGCCAGTTCCTGATCCTGGAGGAGCAATAACACAGATCTGCTGAGCTAGAGGTGGCTGTACAATATGAAAAAAAAAAAATCATGGCATTCGACAATCTACCCTGGCATGGCATTTTTAAACAAACAGGCTAGTGTATGTACAACACATTTGTGCTAGTTTTGAGCTCAAGTGCTATTTATATCAATCCAATTTTAGTATACATGCTATTTATATGACAAAAGGACATGACTTGAGCTGTGCTGACAGTTTCGTGGCTGCCAGAATCAAGGATTTTTTGCCACATGTCACTGCAGCCTAGTTAAACCTGGATTGTATCATTTCCATATGATTTAGCGAGATGCCTTATGCCCACAAAAGGAGGAGCTGCTAACATGTGGTTATAGGGCATTGGGTTTGCAGTGAGGTGCTGTTTAAGAAAAACCTGGAAAGACCCATTTGCGAAGGGTTAAATCCACTGTTAAAACTAACGGATTCATAAAAACACTAAAAGTCAAACAGTAAAAAAGAAAAAATGCCAAATGAAAACAAAAAGTGTTTTTCCTCTGTAAAGCTGTTAAATCTGACACCATTAACGGTAAAGTCTATAGGATACGCGGCCAGCCGGAAGTTTTTTTATGATACTGTATAACAATAATTCATATTTTTACAGTACTGTGACGGGGTAGACGTTAAAACATCCAATTTATTGGGTAATTCAATTAATTAATTCAATTATTTTCTTTTCGGCTTAGTCCCTGTATTAATCAGGGGCCGCCAAAGCAGAATGAACCGGCAACTTATTTAGCATATGTTTTACGCAGCAGATGCACCTCCAGCCACAACCCAACACTGGGAAACACCCACAAACTCTTGCATGCACACACGTACACTATGGCCAATTTAGTTTATTCAATTCACCTATTGCGCATGTCTTTGGACTGTAAGGGGAAACCGGAGCACCTGGAGGAAACCCATGCAAACACGGGGAGAACATACAAACTCCACACAGAAATGCCAAATGACCCAGCCGGGGCTTGAACCAGCGACCTTCTTGCTGTGAGGCGATTGTGCACTGCGCCCCGTGCTGCCCCTGAGTAATTTATTAGATAACATAAATAATAATACTCTGTATAACTGCTGTTTTTACATTACTGTGAAAGTTGGGGTTGGGGTTGGGGTGGTGGTAGACTTTAATAAAATATGCAAAGAAATAAAATACAATTAATGGGAAATTTTATAAATAATTTAAATATGTTTTATTAACTTCCGGCTGCAACCATATCTGATCTAGCAACAACCACCATTAACATCACCAAAGAATCCAAACTTAATTTACAATGTAAAACAACAGTTAAAAAATCATTTTTGATTTGTAAACATGGACTTTATGACCACAAGGCATAATTTATTTGATAAAATACAATAAAAACAGGAACATTGTTCAATATGGCACTGTAAAATAACTCTTTTTCTACTTAAATATACTTTCACATTTCATTTTTTTCCTGTGATGAAGTTAAACGTTTAATGTTTAATCATACAATTGTTGTAAAATGTTTGCAAAAAAGTATTAACTACTTTTAAATACTTTCAGAGACATGAATTTTTTCAAATATTTTATAATAAAATAAAAAATGGTCTAAAAGAGATAGACATCATAAAGCCCTATTGTTGTTTTGTTTTAAATTGCCCTAATTAATGATAATGGATACATTTATTAGATCAACTAATTTTATACATTATAACGGTTTTTTATCTGACGGACAAACTGTGCCTTTTCATGCACACAGAAATATTGGGTATCTCTTGACTCAATCAGACGTAGTTAAATGGCAAAAAGAAATGTGAGTTTAATTTCGACTTAAGTTATCATGTCGCCCTCTAGCGTTAAACTGCAATACAGTCTACTTGTGATACAACGTTACACACCACCAAACTATTTCAATTCACTCATTAAAATGCTGAACTACAAAACAAAAAACAAACAAATAAATAAATACAAATATAAAACGCACACTGTTTGCGAGTTTCACAATGATGAAAGAAATCCGGGCAATTTAAAATAATTATGTGATGTGCATTCGGATATTATTTGCGCTCAGTTAACTTAGCGTACAATATGAATTGTAATACGTCACCTCAAGGTAAAACAGATCCACAGGTTTAATCTGGGAATCTAAAAAGTCCTCATAGGTGCGAAACTCATCCATTTTTTCACCCGAAAAGACGCCTTTGCCGTTATCCATCCTGTTTACGTTGAGTTGTTCCCATGGTAACAGACAGTGCTGCGTTTTCTTCCTGTTGCAAACCAATCATAAACCATGTCCGCCCAAAACAAACTGTCGCGGGAAACATGATGAGACGTTGAACAACATCTCGATGTACAGCAAGTATATTTGCTTGATTGTTTGTCTGCCATCAGTGCTGGTCCATGTTAACTTTATTTCAACGAACAATAGCCTATATCAGCTAGGATGAGATTAGCTGAAAAATTCACTGCTATACATCCAAATACTGTTATAATAAGTACAATTATATAAATGAAATAAATCCAAGTGACAGCTGATTGAATGTATATCATGTCCTGTTGTTTGACATAGTTTTGATCTTCAGGAGGCTACTAAAAAAAACAAGGGAACTAGTAAAAACTTACCTAATGATTTCTTGTGGTCTCTGATTTCTTCCATGGCTAAATTCAGCTGTGGAAAAAACTAAAATAAATAAAAGACCACTTGACAGTTATTGTCAGTTATCTGTACGTATTTACAGTAAAATGTTGTGTTTTATTTTATAAACTATTGATAATGTGTTTTTATTGTCATTTAGAGACCATTTTATGCCACTCATTATATAATGCCAGAAGAATGACAATTCAATTGCATCATGATGCAAGTATGGTTTTCCAAAGAACAAACAATATTTTCTTTTTAAGAACATTTTATTTAATTATAGTCATTTTAACAATTTAATAAGTTGGCATTGGAATCAGAATGTGAAATTGTATGTCCTAAACAAATTAAAAGAAAATTGAACAAAAAAATTCAAGGTAAATAGAACTAGAAAAAAATAACAGATCTCAGATAAAAATGTACTATAGTAAATTATAGTAAATTCTATAGTTTTTTTAATCATACTGACACTGACACCTCCAAAAGAGATTGAGGTTGCGCAATCAACTTAAATGTTGCTGATTTAGTTTTTTTTTTTTTTTTTTGTCTGGCCTATATTGCATCAACAAAAATTATTGTTGTCATGGCCATGTGTTGATAATCAATATATTGATAATTGCGACAGGCCTATTAATGTGCATTATCAAAATTGTAAAAGTTTCACATAGGAATATTTTCACAGAGAATAAATTTGCAAAAAAATAAAATAAAATAAAGGCGTGTAACTATAAAATAATAAATATTTCGTTGTATTACCTAATTTGTTAAAAATTGTATTCATTCATTTATTTATTTCCTCACAATGACCTTTTAGATTTTTTTATTCAAACTTAAAAGCATTGTAATAAAGTCATTGTTATGTTGTTACTTATCGTGCGTCAGTGTGATGACATGTGAGACTGTATGACTAATTCATTATTAACAGCAAACGTCAGCATTAATATTTGAAGAGTTCCTTTACATAATCTGTTTTATGTGTGTTTTGTTTTGTTTTGTTGTGTGTGTGTGTGTGTGTGTGTGTGTGTGTGTGTGTGTGTGTGTGTGTGTGTGTGTGTGTGTGTGTGTGTGTGTGTGTGTGTGTGTGTGTGTGTGTGTGAGTGAGTGAGTGTGTGTGTGAGTGAGTGAGTGAGTGAGTGAGTGAGTGAGTGAGTGAGAGAGCGAGAAAGAGATAGTGGGTCTATTTTTGTTTGTGTCTATTTATATTTTGTGTGTACTATATGTATGTTTGTGAAAGCCTTCTCTTTTGTCTTTCAATAGTATTTAAAGGGCATTGATTTCTACAATGAAATCTGTTGTTACATCAGAATGAACCTACCTAAAGATCCAATATGTTAATTTAAGGAATGGTTAACCCAAAAATGAAAAATCATTTACTCTCCCTCAAATAGTTACAAAGCTTTGTGGGTTTCTTTTCTTTTTTGAAAAGAAAAGAAGACATGAATAATGTTGGAAATTTGAAATCCCATTGTAGTCCCAATGTCTACCAGTTTCCAACATTCCTCAAAATGTTTTATTCTGTTTTCAACACAATAAAGAAACTCAAACAGGTTTGGAACAAGTGGAGAGAGAATAAAGGATGACAGAACTTTACTTTTTGGGTGAACTGTCCATTTAACATAATTTGACACATTGGCATGTTTGGTAAGGTTTTAAATAAAACGTAGACACGTGAACTTTTTAAAACTTTAACTTTTTTTATTATGGTAGGGTTGTTGTACATTACTGGATCTTTACATGGATTTTGACATTAATGAATATCAGGGGAGTGAATTTGCCGATCAGCTTGATTTATTTTGCTAATCTATAATTGGTTGTGGTTCAAAATCATTTCTTGACAATCAGGACTGTGTAGTTTTTTGAAAAGTCAGGCCAAAATGTACATGGAGAAAAGTAATTCATCCTTAACCACTAGGTGTCAGACCTCTTTAAACTTTTATGAAGCAGTTCTCAGTGTGGAACGTTCTGGGCATTTAAAGGGACAGTTCACCCAGACTGAAAATTCTGTCATCATTTACTCACCCTACACTTGTCGGAAACATGTTTGAGGGTCTGGTCGTACATTATATTAGATTACCTTTACTAATATGTACGTAAACTGAAATTAATCATTTGTTACAATAGACTTATTGTGTAAAACATGGGATGCTCTGATCAGGATTTTTGCAGTCAATACTGAGTACCTATTTCTTGTCATGGTGACTGGCTGATACAGAGTACTAAATTCTGATGCATCAAGCTTTATATAACTTTGCCATTGCATAAATCACTTAAGTGGAGATCTTTTCTTACCTAAGAGAATAAATTTAAGGATTTTGCATTGAACAGTTAAGGAAAATCACTTAAACATGTCTCGTTTAATCATTTAGTAAGGACATGTTATGGTCAGAATGAAGCAGCTTTATTGAAAATAATAGATTAAACAGATTTTTAAAAAATTGGTAAGAAAAATTACTATTTGGGAACATTGCAAATGAAGGAAAAATTCAACATCTCTCAATAAAGAAAATGCTTTGAGTGCATATTTGATTCCTAATCATTTAAAATGCACACCTATAAGCACTGCTGATGTATAACCTAGGGCGCATGTGTGTCTTCCTCTGCTTGTAAACTCACCAACAAACTTGTGATCAGTTCATGAGATCAGTTAGGTTAGCAAGTACTAATCGCATCATTAATTCCAATTTTCAGCCAATACTGATTTCCAGCCCATCGATTGGAGCATCCCTAGTAAATACACTATTTTTACATTGTACTTATGATTGATTTAATACCCGCACATCATTACAACTGTAATTAATTTATCTAATTACATTGTTGACCTTGCCTTACTTCTTAACTCACCCATAAACCTACCAATACCATCAAACTTGTCCCTAACCCTACCCATATCTCACCTCTAGAGCACCAGAAGTGTTCTGCAATACATTATGAACACAGTAAGTACAGTGTATTTATTGTTTGATGGAAGTACTTAGTAGAAAAGGCCATCTAATATAAAATGGGACAAAATGTCTTGCTGTTGAACACAAAATAAGTTATTTTTAAAAATACTGAAAACTTCTGACTTCTATTTGTTTTTCCTATTATAGAAATCATTCCGGTTTCTAACATTCTTCAAAATATCTTCTTTTGTGTTCAACAGATGAAAGAACGTCATAAAGGCAATTAAATGGTGAGTAAATTAATTTTTTTAGTTAAATTACTGTATTTCTTAAGCTGTAATTTTTGCCACCATAGAAGCATACAGTTTTTCAGAAAGTTTTAAAAATTTTGAATGATAAAGCTTGTTTTCACAAACAATGTTCACAGTCTATTGGCAAACTTCCAAGCAGTATGAGGAAACCTTTTCATGTTTACCGCTTATGCAGACACCATTTGATGTGGATTCCTTGACGTCTTGACCCCTGTATTTCAACCTGTTTGATGAGACACATTGTTGTAAACCATTTTTCAGTGGAATGTCTGACCTTCACCAAACCCTGACTTTACCCCGTGGATCAGACCTTCAGTATATGGCACAAGCCAGCTGTTCTGTCAATTGTAATTCAGTCTTTAGACATTACCACTACTACTATCACTGGACGCTCAAATAATTATGAGCCGATTCAATCCATTTGTAGGTAAAGTATGCACAAACTCAACCCACGGGGATTAACATTTTATTTTCATTGAATAAGAAATTAACCCAGAGCTTGGGTTTGTACATATTTGACCCAAAATGAGGTTAAAACATCCCAGAATTTATAAATAAAAAAACAGTTCCTGTTGGGTTTTTTTTGTTGTTGTTTTTTTTCTTAGCAAAGAAAAATGAATCTTTGGATACAAAAAGACACATCCTAAAATGTAATTCAGTGTAACAATAGTTTATATACTAAAATTCTTATCGGCTTAGATCATGAATAATTTTCTGACTTAGTAAAATACTATGATTAAGGACCACAGTGGAGTCTCAAATTTTTAAACTAGTTGACGTTTTAAATATTTACACTTTGTACTCACACTAGGCCATCCAAACCGTGCCGTGGTATGTTTGACCTCCATTTTCGGGTTCATTTGACAAGTGTGAGTGCTCCGAATTGTGCCCAGGCATGGTTTGGTTGGCCAGCCCTGGCCCGGTTGGAAGAGGATTGCCAGAGCATGGTTTGTTTGGGCTTTGGCACAGTACGCTTCTAGTATGAGTGCAAATCATACTTGAGTGTGAAACTGAAGACCCAGTTTCACTTTTAAGGGACTGTTTCATCTAAATTTATTAATTATTCTTACCTATCAGTTAACTCGAACTGTCATAGTATGTTAAAGATACATCTTTTAAAAGCAAAGCACAGGTACACTTGATCTTTTTTAATGAGTTCTGGTCAGATTATGTTGTTTTATTTGTACATAAACATGTTACACTGAATAACAATGGAACATAATTTGACTCAAACATAATGTTGTCATGGCATTTTAATCAAAATTATTTGAAACATCCAAATAGACACTTTTAACAGCATTTAATTTGCCTTCTATGTATATCAAATTGCTTATTGTAAATTTCATTTGATGCAAACCACTAAATGGGATGTTTCCTCTTTGACTCATACACATATAGACCCTTTTCACATTTACGGGTTTCTCAGCAGCAGAGGTTGTCATAGTTGGGTAAACTTAGAGCGCAGTGAATAGGAGAGTACAACAAATTATTTTTTTACAATCCTATTTGATGTAATAATAAAAGAAAAGTGCCACGAAGCTGTTAAGACTTTCAGAAAAAAAAAAATAATATAGTGTGAGACCGATGATCAGAAGAGAGAGTATTGTCAAATTTACTCTCAGTCCCATAGACTCTGCATTAGAAACATCTCGCACAAGCAGTAATTAGTTTTTTTGTAATTTGACGCAAAAATGATATACGTACATAAATACATATAAATGTACAAATGTTTTTTTTAAAAAATATTTTCTTATCTAAATATTATAAACTTTTAAGGATTTAAGATTATGATGACCATCATAAAAATATTGTGAAAAGGGTCCATTGATGGTCGGGAACATCTAATGCAGACTCAACGCTAATGGTAGTTGTGATAAAAGTACACCCTTTTAGGATTTCTGTTATTTCATTATATTTCCATTTCCCATGTGGTAGCCTTGTGAGGTAGACGATGTCCTCACAAAAAATTGTGAATTGTTTATTCCAAATGAACTATAGTTAAAAAGTAATGATAATTCATATTAATAATTAATGCTTTCAACTGTAAACACTAAAGATGATTTCCATAGTTTTTTTGCTTGACAGTTATAGGGATATTTTTTTATGGGTCAAACCGCAACTGTCTGCCATTTGATACACCTATATGAGCAGGGCTCATAAAAAACACAGAGCCGTCTCACAAGACATGTTTATCCTTGTGGGACATCGCTCTTCTGTGGAATGCACAGGGGTCATGACAGGATTTTACTTTCCATGACAGTCAGCAGCTAGATTGATTTTTTTTTTTTTTTTAGACGAACGAACATGTACTTGTTCAAAAAGTAGATACTTTCTTTCAAACAATTTAGCAGTCTATGTGCAATACAGAAGCATTCAAAACCTTTTCATGTATTGTGCACTTTTTAAAAAATATATTTGCAGATAACCATCACAAACGTTATAATCTTAGGAGCTGGATAACTGTTTGTGCAAAAAAAAAAAAAAAAAAAGCTTGGAGACATAAATATATTGTATAAATACAGTGAGATATAATATAAAATGTAGATATATCTTGTAAAATCACTGAGGATACTTGGGTAAATCCTTATGTGAAGAGGAACTTCATGAAATGCAAAGCAGTTCATTCAATCCTGAAAACGTCTTGTGATTGGCTCATTCACCCCTTTGACTTGACGTACTGTACATGATGACTGGAATGCTCATGTCAAAGTTAGGTATTTTACCTAGAAGAGATTTTAAAAAGTTTATTTCAGCGAACCCATTTTCCCCATCCGGTTTGTCTTTTTGCAAGATAAGTCCATCTTTAAGTCAGCACTGCAGTTCTATCCGAATCGAAACTTTGGCCAGTACTTGACTATTGGTCGATTCTTCTTTGCAGTGTTGACTTTTGGTAAAGAAGGCTTTGAAGGATGCGGCGGAGGTTGTTTTTCCTCCTCTTTGTCTGTTACTGTGAATCCTTGCTCAGTCTTTTCATGTAGGTTCATCCTCGGCAGAAAATGTGTAGACACGTGTTGCGACTTCACTCTCGGACTGGACCCCATTTTTGCTTTTCCTCTCTTGTTGAGGGCCACAAACCACTCTCTACCAGTGCGATGGTTTTTGTGGATCACCGAGGCGTATGTGTTATAGCTGTTCTCCTGAAAGCGCTCTCTGAACTTACAGTCATCTGTAAAGCTCTCCTGCATGGGGAAGAGGGAGAATGAAGTTATACAAAAAGAGAAAATCAACAAGTTCAGTCTGATACTGATACGTCTGTGCATGTTAATGGTCACAATAAAAAGTCTTGAATCTTGGCGTTCAGCGTAGCCAGTGAGTGATCCCTCTGATGATCTGTGTTTGCACTTCAGCTAGAGCCCAGCTGCAATGATGTTTATGTAAGGTTAGGTTTCCTCTAATATTTGTACATCTTACTTTCAAATCTGATTATTACTTATACTAGTAAGAGTGATTGCAATACGCTCTTTGGATTTTTGCAAGATTGTGAGTATGTGCCTACAAGTAAAATAAATAAACTCTGGTTGCATAATTCACTATGGAATTAAATCACTCTTCTAGACAAGCAGTTTGTGTTAATATAGATACTACAAAACACCAGAGGACGTGTACAATGTAGCAGACGTGTAGTTCTCCTCTGTCATAAGATGATTGCGTCATGATAATAAATGAAAAAAGGGACTCTGTACTGCATGCATAATCATGAAGGTGATGGCATTCACCACAAAACAAGCAGTACGTTTACATGGACACCAATAATCCGATTTTAATACAACTAAGACAATACTCTGATTAAGAGTCTACCATGTAAATGCTGATTTTTGATTAATTTAATTCGACTAAAGTCATCTAACTAAACAGAAATTGGGTTGAGACATGTGGAGTGTGCTGATTTTAGTCACATTATTGAAGTGCAGCACAGACATGTAAACACTTTAATCAACTATTATTATCATGTAGGATTTTTGCCACATTTTGCGACAGGATAGTCTATACACCCTCTGCTGAGTCAGTAAAGGACCACAGACACCTAAATCGCGAAATGCAGAGTTTTATTGCCCCCATATGGCGTGTGGTATCAAATTAAATTAAAACAACACTCCTCCAGCAGTTCATACTCGCATTCTATGTTCCGTTTGTCACAGGGTCATGCATGAAATGTTCCTGAATGAAAGTGAAAGTGCCAAATTGCAGTTAAAGTTGAGAAATTAAAATGAAACACTCAAAATTACATGAAACCCTGGAGGAAATGTGGCTAGCGTGCTGACGCAATGACGTCAATCGAATGATGTGCTATAACATGTAAAACAGGATCATGAAAAGAACATTCAAAAAGCAACTCATCTAAACACCTTAATCAAATTATTGTCCTATTCAGATTAAGGCAAGTAATTGGTAAACATAGTCACTTGTAGAATGTTGTAAATGAAATAGAAAAATAAAGCTACAACAAATAGCAATCCGAGCTGTTAGACTCAACATTTTAACCATCAAAGACAATTAGAGAGACAAGTGCCCACCAATGATCATAAATTGCCTATTTTTAAAATGATGGCACTGCTGCGCGCACTCCATTATGCAGTGTTATATTGGTTATTTTGGAACAAAAAAGTTACATTTTAGGGTAGTCTGCCAATGTTGGAATAAATGAGATGTCCAATCAGATTAAAGCAATGAAACAGCTGCTTTACAACACGTGTTATATGACCGACCATAACATGCCCTGAAACAAACTTAATGTCAAATATGAATATTTTCTAATTTACAGTATGGTATATGAATCATTTAATTAATGAATGTGATTTTTTTTCGTCATATAAAAGTGTATGATTGTGTGCATACTCATTAATTTTGTTTTCAGCTTAGTCCCTTTATTAATTAGGGGTCGCCACAGCAGAATGAACCACCAACTTATCCAGCATATGTTTTTTTTACACAGCGGGTGTCCTTCCAGCTGCAACCCATCACTGGTAAACAACCATACACTTTAATTTACACTCATTCATATACGGACATTATAGTATACCCAATTTAACCTTATAGCTCATGTCTTTGAATTTGAGGGGGAAACCGGAGCACCCAGAGGAAATCCAAGTGAACATGGAGAGAACATGTAAACTCCACACAGAAATGCTAACTAACCCAGCCAGCGACCTTCTTGCTGTGAGGTGACAGCGCTCCCCACTGTTTCACTTCGCCCGCCCCCATGTGCGCATCTTCTAGACAAGCAGTTAGTGTTAATATAGATACTACAAAACACCAGAGGACGTGTACAATGTAGCAGACGTGTAGTTCTCCTCTGTCATAAGATGATTGCGTCATGATAATAAATAAAAATAGGGACTCTGTACTGCATGCATAATCATGGAGGTGATGGCATTCAACGCCACAAAACAAGGAGTACGTTTACATGGACACCAATAATCCGATTTTAATACAATTAAGACAATACTCTGATTAAAAGTCTACCATGTAAATGCCGATTTTTGATTAAGTTAATTCGACTAAAGTCATCAAACTAAACAGAAATTGCGCCCCATGTGCGCATTTAAGGATCAAAATGATAAATTCTGAATTCTTTTTTTTCTCCTTCCAAATGTCAAAATATGGTTGCAGAATCTTTATTTATTAATTAATATATTTATTTACTGCACTGAAGCAGCTGTACAATGCATATCCCCCAACCCCTGCCAATGTAATTCACAACTATATAATGTACATAATTCTACACCTCAAAAATGCAATTAACCCTCAAATTCACTTACCGGTCAAAAAATTATCCAATCATTAAAGAAGTTATAAATATTATTTTCTATTTTCAAAATGTCATTAGGACTAAAATGTTTTTTCTCTTAGGTCAATTGTGACCTGACAGCTATAAAACCATTTTTACACCACAAAAACTGCTGGCACGCACATGCATACTCCAACACACAGTCCAAAAACCAGACACAAAATAAGAATCTGCTGCTTTAACTTTTATGAATACTGTCTTGCTATTTTTTTTTTGTTTAGCATTCTTTAGCATTAGAAAATAGATCCTTTTACTTTAGTCAAGTATGAATGTTTCCTACTGATTAGGCATTGATGGAAAACCCCACTGATGAGGGAAAACCTGGACATTCACAGTTTATATGTTGTTCTGAAAAATGGATTTGAGGATTAAAATAAAATTTAGCTGCTTTCTTTTAGAGCTTTAGTGAAGGCGGCTCATTTTTGACCAGTAGGAGAAACGGTATGTACAGAATTTTAAGACAACAGGAGGGTTAAATAATTCTTGTATCCTTTAGCATTAATAACAATCTTTAAAGGGGCTATATCCTTCTCAAAGGGTATATGTCCACCTGAGAACAGTACGCGATCGGTAATGTGCTCTAGTTTTACCACAGCAAAATATATGAAGCCACAGCACATCAATAAAGCTTTTAACACTTTGGGCACACAATAAGTAATTACTGTGCACACACTTTGTAGGATGCCACATTAGCAGCTGCTGGAGAGAGAACACTTTGTGGCCTGATTGAGTTTAGCCCCTCATAAAGACAGCTAATGAAAGCAGCACGCGGATTATAGACACTGAGCCCCAGAAAAAGCATTGAGGGGGTTAGAGAATAATTGCAAGTTTTTCTTTTATCTCCCAGCTCAAAGTCATCAAAACCGACTTTCCAATCAAAGACTGTGGTGACTGACAGAAGCAGAGCTTTTGTTTGTGTGGGCTGAAAACTCATTAGGCTATAAAATAACTTTTTCTTCCAGGGCTCAGGAAAGCAGGACACTTGCTTTTTCATGGGCAATCTGTGGTTGTGTACTGGCTAGGGTTGACCAGATTTTAGGTTCTCCTTCGAGCTAATGTTTTTAAAGATTTGACCTACAGTACGTTTATTCTGTTTTATCACACGCAAGCTGATCATCAATTTATGATTCGAAATTCACTTTAATAGGACAATTTTTTTTTGTCTGTTATGTTTTCTTCAGATTGATGTCTGTCTGTTGGATGTGTCTGTAAAGGTCAAACCAGGCTCATTGGAAATAAGTGCTTCAGGCTGTATTTTTGTTAAACCTGAAATGTTTCAGGTGACAAACCCACCAGATGGCGCTGTGTAGTTTTTTTTTTTTTTTTTGTGAATCTGAAATGTGTTACTTATGATACGTTTTGTTGTACATTTCAGATACATGTCCTTCTTGTACACGTCCATAAGAAGGCGAGGCTTGTCATGCAGATAACCTAGCGAACCACTGACCTAAACCCAACCAATGTTGTTTTAAAGAGCAAAGGTAAGAGAAAGGTGCACTGTGCCCATGTCATTTTAACATTAATTTGACCTTTTTTTGTGGAACTGTGCTTTATCAGTCTTGAACCCAAGCAATCTGCATTGCAAGTATGAACACTGGAAGTAAGCTACCTATGAAAATGCCAAAAGAAAAGCTGTTTATATGTAGATAGACAGGGAAGGCAAACATATAATCATTGGTATTTGTTTGGTGTTAAGAACTCTGTGAAAATGATCCTTTATTGGTTGATAATATTTCCCTGTGAGAATTATTAGTGTGAAAAGGAATAAAGGTTTTTGTTCATCATACTGCATCATAGAGATAATTCTACCTATACATGAAGTAAAAAAATACATTTCACAAAAATCTAAGCTGGGGGCATTTTCCAATGAGCCTGTACTGCAACATCTTTGAAACTTTGTGTTGTGGTCAGGACTAACTCATTCAGGTCCAAACAAGTCTCTGTCTTGACTTGGACTCAACTCTTTTTTGGTCTCGGTTTTCACTTAGACTTGAGTGAAGTAGCTTTGAGTACAATGCTTCAATTAAGTATTTGATAGTCACGGTAAATCGTAACTGCCCAGTGTTTCCAAATTTATTCATATTTGTATTAATTTATATTTATCTTTTCCAATTAAGTCTTGTGTAGGAGGAATGCATTTGCAATTTTATAAATCATGTGGTGTTTTCAAAATCAAACACGATATAAAGAACAACATAAAAAAAGAAGTGTAGTAGAAAAATTGCTGGGCAGTCTGATAGTATGCTGTATATCATTATTGTGGAATGAAATGTGTACGGTAAAATACATTTTCATTCCCTGTATATACTGTAAATAAATGGCATGGTCTCACCTGCAGCATGCATGAGGCTGAGAAAGACACTCCATGGGAGACTGTCAGTGTTACCAATT